TTGATTTCCATTCTTTATTATTTCTTTCCTTCTGTTTGCCTTGGATTTATTTTGCTCTTCTTTTTCTAATTTCTTGAAGTGGAGCTAGATTGATTTGAAACTTTTCCTATTTTTACTGTATATATTTAGTACATGAATTTCCCTCACAGCACTGTTTTAGCTGTGTCCCACATATTTTGACACATATTATTTTGATTTTCATTCATTGCAATGTATTTTTAATAGCTTTGAGACTTCCTTTTTGACCCACAGATTATTTAGAAGTATGTGTATTAGTTTCCAAGTATTTGAATATTTTCCTATTATGTTATTGATTTCCAGTTTGATTCTGTTGAGGTCAGGGAAAACACTTTGTGTGATTTAATTCTAAAGTTTTGATATTGTCTTATGGTCCAGGATATGATTTAGCTTGGTATATGTTCTGTGCACACTTGAAAATGTACATTCTGCTATTGTTGGGTAGTGTGTCTATAAACGTCAATTAGATTCCATTGGTTGACAGTGATGTTATTTTATTCCTTGCTGATTTTTTGTCTAGTTGTTCTATGAATTGTTGAGAGAGAGGTGTTGAAATTTCCAACTTTAATTCCAGACTTGTCTGTTCTCCATTCAGTTGTCTTACTTTTTAGTTTCACATATTTTGCAGCTCTATTTTTTGTTGTGTACACATTTAGAATTCTTACAGCTTCTTGATAGATTGATACTTTTAACATCATATACTTTCCCTCTCTATCTCTAGTAATTTTCTTTGCTCTGAAGGTTCTACTTTATATGATATTAACATAACCACCTGTTCTTTCTTTTGATTAATGTTTGCATGGTATATCTTTTTCTTCACTTTTACTTTCCAGCTGCCTATAATTTGAAGTGAGTTTCTTTTAGACATCATACACTTGGTTCATTTTTTAAAAATGAGTTGTTGGGGCGCCTGGGTGGTTCAGTCGGTTAAATGGCTGCCTTTGGCTCAGGTCATGATCCCAGGGTCCTGGGATGGAGCCCCGTGTTGGACTGTCTGCTCAGCGGAGAGCCTGCTTCTCTCTCTCTACCTGCCACTCTGCCTACTTGTGTTCTCTATCTCTGTCAAATAAAAAAAATCTTTAAAAAAATTAAAAAAATAAATGGGTTGTTGAAGCTTTTTCAGATAATTTTTTTTTTCAGCTAATTCTTTTTCAGATAATTCTAACATCTCTGTCATCTTGATGTTGGCATCTTGCAAACATTTTTAATTTTTATTCAGTTTGAGATCTTTGTGATTTTTGATATAAGAAGTGACTCTATTGAAACCTGGACATTTTGAGTATTTTATAATGTGACCCTGGATCTTATTCACATCTTCTGGTTTAACTGGATTCCTCTAGCACTGCTCCAGTAGGAGGGTGGGGGTACCTCCCCACCCATTGACAACAGAAGGGATTGATTTTATTACTACTGAGTGGGGTGGGAGTTCTGGCTCTCCATTAGACCTCCACTGATACCTCCCTGGCTGAAAGAAATAGAAGTGTTTTGTTACTTCTAAAACATGTATGTGTAAAAATGAGTAATTCAAAAAACTAATTCCAGGAATGAAGAATTCTTAGGAAGTTGATGTTATGTAAATAATTTTTCTTTCTGTCTTTTTTTTTTTAAAGGTTTTATTTATTTATTTGAGAGAGAGAATGAGAGAGAGAGAGCACATGAGAGGGGGGAGGGTCAGAGGGAGAAGCAGACCCCCTGCTGAGCAAGGAGCCCGATATGGGACTCGATCCCGGGACTCCAGGATCATGACCTGAGCCGAAGGCAGTCGCTTAACCAACTGAGCCACCCAGGCGCCCTTATGTAAATAATTTTTCTTAAACTTTGTAATTTATGTACATTTGAGCTCCTTAATAATTGTATTTAAGTTGTAACATTTAAATTGTCATAAGTCTCAGGGTACATGGGTGGTTCAGTCGGTTAAGCGTCCAATTCTTGGTTTTGGCTCAGAGCATGATCTCAGGAATGTGAGATCAAGCCCCCCTCCCCCCGCCCAAGTCAGGCTCTGTGCTCAGCATGGAGTCTGCTTAGTTTTCTGTCTCTCCCTCTCCCTCTGCTCCTCTTCTTGCTTGCACTCGCTGTCTCTCTCTAAAATAAATAAATAAATAAATAAATAAATAAATAAATAAATAAATAAATTAAAAAAATCTTTAAATTGTCATAAGTCTAGGGGCACCTGGCTGGCTCAGTCAGTAGAGCACCTGACTCTTGATCTCCGGGTCAGGAGTTCAAGCCCCACATTAGGCGGGGAGTCTACTTAAAATAAAAAGTAAATAAATAAATTGTTGTAAGTCTATTGTACTGAACAGTGGGAACCACAGATATTATTCTTTTATTAAACCAAAAAGTAATACTTGTGCTTTGTGACAAATCCAACAAATTCAGAATAGTTTAGAGTAAAATGGTCCTCTTCATCCCAATTCCATTCTCCAGATGTAATTATTAACAATCGGACATGCATTCACTCAGTTTTTAGGATCTATTTACACTTTCAATCATGTTCCCCCACCTCACTTACTCACTCCTAGTCTTTCTCTTCACCTTCTCTTTCTATGCCTTCTTTGTAAGCTCATCCTTCTTTATCCAGCTATTAAATATTGGGATGCTTTCAGACTTGGCTCTAGAAACCTTTTCTTCTGCATCAGTATTGTTTTTCTTTGTGACTCATCTAAATCCTTGCCTCAATTGCCATTTACACTTAGATGACTCATAAATTTATTTTTCTACTTCAGATCTCTGGCCTGAGTGTCAAACCAATAATGCCAACTCTGTACTTAACATCTCTTTTTGTATACAAATGGCATTTCAAGTCCAAAAACCAGACTGGTGGTCTTCCCTTCCAACCTCTTACAGATTTCACATCTTAGTGAATGGTACTACCATATATTGAGTTGTATTTGCCAGAAGCCTAGAGTCATTGTTGCCTGCCTTTCTCCTGTACCTCCCATATCCGCCCTGTGGTTTTTCCTTCCTGAATCTGCCCACTCGTTTCCATTTCTACCTCCAGGCTTTCATCATCTTCTGCCTGGGCTAGACCAGTAGTTTCTTATATGGACTTTTTGCTTAATCTTATTGCATCTGAATTAAATTTTTACTCTGTGACCAGAGAGATACTTTTTTTTTTTTTAAAGATTTTATTTATTTATTTATTAGAGAGCAAGCGAGAGAGAAACAGCATGAGAGAGGAGAGGGTCAGAGGGAGAAGCAGGCTCCCCGCTGAGCAGGGAGCCCGATGCGGGACTCGATCCCAGGACCCTGGGATCATGACCTGAGCCGAAGGCAGTTGTTTAACCGACTGAGCCACCCAGGTGCCCCGAGAGATACTTTTAAAATAAAAATTTGGTCATGTTAACTGCTTGTTCCTATGGTAAATACCAAAATCCTTAACATGACTTAGCACAGTATAGATCATGTAGATGACATTTAATAAGTATTTGTGGAAAAATGAATAGATGAATTTATATAGTTGAGTGTGTGCTATTAAAATAGTATTGTTCACACATGTATCTCTATGTATCTTTTCTATTCTTGCTATATTTCTATTTGATATGTTTCTAGAAGTGGGGTGCTAGTATAGTTTGGTTTTCATCTATTAAATATCAAGGGTAAAGGATCACTTGGTATAGTGCCTTGTAGCCATCAAAAGAAAAAGGGAAGTCTGATCTAGGGAGATCAGTGGTGATTTATTAAGGGAGCCATCTTGTACCTCCTACCTGATGGAAGGGAGTTATATCCTAAAGAATTGCCCAATGACTTAAGTATTTCTTTGTTTTTGAGATTTTTTTTTTTAAAGATTTTTTTATTTATTTATTTGAGACAGAGAGAATGAGAGAGAGAGAGCACATGAAAGGGGGGAGGGTCAGAGGCAGAAGCAGGCTCCCTGCCGAGCAGGGAGCTCGATGCGGGACTCGATCCCGGGACTCCAGGATCACGACCTGAGCCGAAGGCAGTGGCTTAACCAACTGAGCCACCCAGGCGCCCTGTTTTTGAGATTTTATGCCAAATAACTTTAGGTAAAATATTTTATAAGATAGAGCAAGGGACAAATGAATCAGATTTTTATATTTGTAGCAAACGTGACTACTCCTATTTTTATTTCGCTTCCTTTTTTTGTGTGTGTGTTAAAGACGGTATAGGAAATTAGGTAGTTTAAGGAAAGGAATGATTTGAAATGGGGTGGTCCATAAAGATGAATAGAAATAATATATGAATTATAATTGCATAGAAGTAAAAGATCTGTGTACTAGTGTAGTTGATACTGGGCAGAATGTGATGTAGGCAAAAAGTATTTTCAGAGACATGTTCTTCCATTTCTCTCTCTTTTGGTTCACTCCATGGAGGGAGGATGGTGTGTACTGGTGCTTGTGAAGTAGGCGGAAGACAGCATGAAGGTATCAGGTGCCTGAAAGATGGGGATCTAGGTATCAGTTTGCCACTGGCTTGGCACTTGCTAGTTTTGTGACCTTGGGCAACGTAGCTGATCTCTGTGATAATTTCCCATCTGAAAATAGTACTAACCACTGATTTACATGCAGACTAGGTTGGATGTGATCATTTGTTTCATTATTTATTAATGTATTTATTTTAAAAATTCATTTGTCTGAGCAGATACTAAAACACTTTATTACTGATTCTTTTTTGTTACTGATTTTAGTTATGAATTTGCATACCAGAAAGATAAAAAGGCTGCAGAATGACTCACAACGGGTAGTTAGGGCACTGAGAGGTACCATTAAACTCTGAGAGTTAATATGCTTTTGGAAATATGCATGTATTCCAAGGGAGCACAGAACTCTATGAAATTCATATGTAATTACAAATTTTTTCTGTTTTTCCCCTCTAGTCTATTTTTGTTCATACTGAAATGTGTGGATTAAGCAGCTTTATATTTATTTTCTTCTTCCTATTAATTTCGCATCAGCTACTCTGTGGCTGCTTAAGGAAAACATTGATTTAATTGCTCTGTTTGTCATTTCTTCTTGTTCCAGGCAATGGACCTCACCATGACCGTTGCTATACTTATAATGAAAACAACTTGGTGGATGGTGTTTATTGTCTCCCAATAGGACACTGGATTGAGTCAACTGGGCACACCAATGAGATGAAGCATACCACGGACTTCTATTTTAATATTGCAGGCCACCAAGCCATGCATTACTCAAGGTAAAAATAGTGCCATGTTTATAAGCATAGAGATGGGACGAGAGGTAGTATTAGGACAATGGACGTGTTTACTGTGTCCAAAACAGCAACGTCTCCCTTTGGAGGGGCATGTAGGCCTGCAGTACTTTAAGGAGAAAAATTACAGTGAATCACTGTGTGAGCTTTTCTGGTTCTAGATGTGAAGGATCCTTTGTATAGAGTTCTTTTATTAATTACATACTCTGGCATCAACATATTTTGACCAGATTGTACTTAGAGAGTCTTTGTACTTTCATAGTGGTTCCCAGATCAGCATTTATCTTTTATTTTACCAACCAACACTGAAACAAAAACTGGTGTCTCTTTATAAACTTTTATTCAGATAAATGTGTGAAAATGTAGACATAAAACTAGATTAGATGTGATCATTTGCTCTGTTATTAATATATTTATTTATTTAATTATTATGCCAGCAATATGTGCCATAATAAAAATTCAAACACTGAAGAGGATGCTAACTGAAAAGTAAGGTTCGATACACTCTCCTTCATTACCACTCATCGGAAGTAATTATTTCCAATGATTTTATGGTTAGTTATTCTGGAGTTTAATTCCAAGTCTTAAATAATATTCATGCACTTTATTTGTTAATGTATCGATTTAAAAATAGTTATTGTTTCCCATCTGTAGCATGAAGGATATCAAGTTCACTTACACTTGTCTTCTTTCCCCACTCCCACTTCCTGCCAGCTCATTTAAAAAATTCTTTTGTTATTTAACTTCATAAAAATTCCATTTCTTGATAGTTTTTGACAGTGCTTCTTGATTTCCTACTGGGTAAGTCAGAGATTTATTGTCCTTGTATTTTCCTCCACATCTACTTCCACCTGTTAACTCCTGTTTTGCATTACTTTCACATTTTCAAGGTTTACAGAATTTACAATTAATTTAGCAAGCCTTTTATAGTTTGATAATTTGAAAATGGAAACCCATATTCAACATTTAAAATACCATGTAAATATTATTTACCGTAGAACATGCAGTGTTTGTGCCATAGACAAAGAGAGGCATTCTCATGCTCTTAAAAACTGCATTGCTTTGAATGAGAGATGTAATTAGTACAAACAGGGTAGTGAATGGTAGGAGAGAGGATGAAACTTCATCATAGTGTTAGGGAATTCATGTTCTTCTTGGACATACCATTCTTGGAAATCCATGCTAGATGTTGACCTTGCTGATGGATTGGAGGCAGAACATGAGCAAGAGAGGTGTTAAGCATGACCTGTGATTTTATAGCCTGAGCAACTAGATTAATGGTGTCCTGTTTATTGAGATGGGGAAGACAAGGAGATGAGCAGTTTGGAGTATGGATCGAGATGATAACTCTATTGTAGACATAATGTATTTGAAATGTAGGTTAGATTGCAGAAAGGAATCAATTTTATGTCTGGAGTTTTGTGGAGAGATTGTGAATGGACAGATAAAATTTGGGTTATCAATGTATAGATAACATTCAAAGTAATGAGTTCATTATTTATTTATTTTTAAAGATTTATTTATTTTTTTAGAAAGAGAGAGAGCACGAGTGGGGTGAGGGGCAGAGGGAGAGAGAAAGAATCCTCAAGCAGACTCTCAGTGTGGAGCCTGACGGGGGGCTCAATATCATGACCCTGAAATCATGACCTGAGCTGAAATTAAGGGTCAGATGTTTAGCCGACTGAGCCACCCACGAACCCCTCAAAATGATAAGTTTAGATGAGATCATTTAGTGAATGAGTGAAATATAGCAGAGACAAAGAAGTGAAAATAACAAGCCCTCATGTACATACAATTTAGAGATCAAAGAGAAGAGGATCCAGAGAAAAGAATTGAAAAGAGGCACCCATTGAGATGTACTGACCTTTAGTGAGGTTGTGTTCCTGAGTTATTTTTCATTTTTGCTGAACCACAATTGCTGAAGAGTTGTGTTTTAGGCTCTAGGGATTTTCTTCTACATTTGATTATTTCTCCTCCTTTGTTCTTTGTTCTGTTGTTAAAGATCCTCCTTAGATGGATATTGGACCTCGTGGATTTATATCTTTTTTTTTTAATTTTATTTTATTATGTTATGTTAGTCACCATACATTACATTATTAGTTTTTGATGTGGTGATCCACGATTCATTGTTTTCATATAACACCCAGTGCTCCATGCAGTACGTGCCCTCCTTAATACCCATCACCAGGCTAA